TAACAGAATCCACAATATCAAATGCCACTATTTTCAGAGGAGAAAGAAACAGGAGTTATTGACTCTTACAGAAATTGAGTATTGATGCACCTCTGTGAGTCAATGTTGTTTCTGAGATTTGATAAAACCACGAGATATTTTGGATCCTTCTTTGCCATTTGTTGTGGTTGGCTTTGGTTTGTCTTTTGCTATCATCAACCTTTGTAGCTTTAGTGATAAGCTGCTACTTGTCATGATATCGTAAGAAAGGAATTTGACGATTGCTGAGAATAAAAGACTGTTGTGCTTGCGGGTTTCTGCATTTCTACTAAATAATATATTTCAACTGGAGCTTTTGAATAGACTACAGAAGAGAATGACTTGGTTCATACTCTAGTTCCGTGTTTCGAAATGAAGCAAAAGTGACGTAAAAACTATTCCATAAAATACAGAAAATCTAGAGAGAGACGTCTATGGAACAAATTCTTCATGAACAATCTATATTGCTCGAAACTCTCATGACTATTCTCGAAAATTCTGAAAGAAACTTTCTTATCTATTTGAGAATGGGCCATGTTCAATAGCTTTATACTCTCAAAGAGCATAAAAAACTTGTGAAATAAACATTGGCTTCCTTCCAATCCTTCTTGTACCCTATGAGAGTTACCACTGTATTAGCATACGAGAATAAGAATATCGATAGTTGAAAAAGCCATATTGATCATTCTTCCATTGTTCTGGTCATCTCAGTCCAAGCCATAAAGGATATGACATAGTCATCAGTTGATAAAGAGAAGAAGTTGGATTGGTATCCTTTACTGTTTTCCTCGATTGACTGTTTGTCGGTCACAACAACAACATTAATTTATTTATATTTGTACTCCGAAATAGACAGAAGATTGTTTAATTTCACTTTAGCGATGGCGAGTTTGGATGAAAAGTGGAAAGCTTTTGTCAAGTTTAAGTCTGTTGTGGTAGATCGTGAAAGAGATGTTGTTCGAGTGACAAAAGAACTGTATGATCTTCATAGCAACAGAGAACAACTCAGGGGTGTAACAAGTAGTTGCGACTATCGCTTGACGATACCATTTGCCCCCCATCATTTTGGCTCAGGCAAAACGACCTTTGCCCGAACCTATTTGGAGTTGGTGCAAAGGTTTGGTGAAACTTCCCTGTCGACGTTTGCTTTGGACCCTTTGAGAAGAACCTTTTTGGAGAAGCTGAAAAGGGCTTCGTTGCTCTTTGTGGATTTGAGGAAGTTGAAGCCCACAGACCCGAAAGAACGCAACCTAAAGTGGGCAGTCTACTATTTATTGTACCAATCAGCTTGTAATCAGATGGGTCTACCGTTTATGAAGCCTGATGAAGCCTACAGACACATTCCTCCCTATCCAAGCTTTCTAATTCCGGAGCTACGGAAGACTTTGGGCATTCCTTCCGATCAATATCTTCTGATAGCTTTTGATGAAGTTGGTGTCCTAGACGAAAGTCTCGACGAATTTCATTTCAAGAGAACCCATGACGGTAGAGTTCGACCATACAACGACTTTATCGGTATCATTAGTCAATTGTGCAAAGAACCCGATTTGTTTTTTATAGTTGTTGGGAAAAGCAAGGGTTTAAGTATTAAGAATGATGTGGCTTTCGGGCTATCGAGAGTTATACTACATTTTATTTCTTTATCACCTTTGGACGCTTCCAGTATCGTTGAATTCCTTGAAAAGACTCTTCTTGAAACACCTACTCAAGTTCCAGTTTGTAATGTCTTATGTAGTTCTTCATTTTCAGTAAATGAATTGGCAGATTCGTTATTGGAATGTACAGGTGGAGTTCCTGGTTTGTTGACTCGTGCAGTGAATATGCTTTTGAATTATATAATAGCAAGAAATCAGCCTTTCATATCGAAAGAAGAATGTTTGACATGTATGAACGACGACGATTTCCTAAGAATTTGTGCTGAACCATTTGTGGAACGAATATTGAATTTGGACGAAGATAGAAAAAGTGTTTTTGATATACTTTTGATGATGGCACTTTATCGTATACCGTTTCAAGTAGATGACATATTGACCTCGGAGTCCTTTTTATATGATGCCGTAACTGAAATGGGACTATATCGGTATCCTATTGACCAGAATACTTTTCAAGTCCTGATTCCAAAAGTATTTGTTGGATCTTCAAGAGGGACCCTTCCATATCTTCTTTGGAAAAGATACTTCTTGGATCACTTGATGTCGAACCAGTAGATTGTTTCTTTTATTCAAAGTGTCGTGTATTTGAAGGAATTGTTGCTTTACGACTAGTTTTGATGTTGCCTTCAAAGAATCGAAATGAGTTGAGGGAATTGTTGTGTCAATTGTCTCCAATATGGAAACAAATGAAACTTCCAATCAGTACAATATCACCTATTCACTATATGAAGTCTGTTGTTAGTTCTAGAGAAACAAGAAATGAATCGAACAAGAGTCGAAGAACTTTTGCCAGTACTGAATGGAATAAGATTATTCGAGAGACACTTTATTTAGAGACTATTTACATTCCAGTGGACGCTACTTCTCATAGTCCTGATATTATATTCAAATTACAATCTCCTGTGGAACCCAAAGTTCTTACTGTTGGAGTTGCTTGTAAAGGACGCTGGAAGTCAGAAGGAATTGGCTGGTCAGATATTATAGATGAAGCCAAGAAATTTTTAGATCCTGTTTATGATCAAGTCTTATCCAGTGCAATGGATTATCATCATTGTATGCTTATTATCGTTAGTACAAAGTTATCATTGAATGTTTCTAATGAGTTGGGTAATCAGAGTCGTTGTTACTCCAGTGGAATGTTTATTGGAAATGATTCATTCAAAGTACCTGATAATTGTGAACTTGTTATTCTTTGTGAAAGAGATGTCCAAATGCTGATTGACAAAGAAATATTGAATGGACTTGAAAGAGCATTTTGTGTTTCTCATAATCCTACTTTTTGGGATTTTGGATTAGATTTACTTGATAGAATCCGTAACAGTTTCTTAAGTTGGCAATAGATTCTAACTCAGTCCTTCCTTTTGTTTTGAAGAGCAAGTAAACTTTTTTTTGTATGTTTGAAACTCGGTTACAACTTATTTGCTTTCACTCCGAGGATTATTGTCTTAATATGGTACTAACCACGAAAATCAAAATAAGCCTATTGTTGCAAAAGTCACTGTCACAGTTTGACAGGTCTTGTTTGCTTCTTGTTACTTCTCAGGAGAGTGTCTTAAAGTGTGACGATTGGGTTTTATACAAGGTCTTGTATTCGTCAAAGACTTTATTTATGGTTCGCCTCAAGTTGAAAGTTCCTTAGCTGGTCTATTTTCTAATAGCTCAGAGAAGTTGTTTTTATATACAATTGCACAGAAAACAATATCCACTCTTTATTAAAAAAATTGAAAAAGATAGTCTTTATCTAAAAGGCAAATCATGTTCTTATCAAGACTTGTTCAAAGCTTCAAAAGACTTTCGTCGCAATCAAGAATTTGAGCATTGGACTGTTGGAAGAAGATTGATTGACCATTGTTGTATTTTACTGTCGCATAGTTTACTTCATAGCTTGCGATATGTCTAGTGAGCTTGAACCAGAAACCGTATATGACATGGTTGTAGTACACCGAGAAAATGATGTTCGTGTAGTAACAAAGCAGTTATTTCAGCTATACACTCTCCGTAAACTTGGTAGCCCTTTCAAACCAGTCATACCCTTTGGTCCCCACCTCTTCGGAAGTGGAAAGACAAAATTCGTAAAAAATTACTTGGAACTGGTGAATAATATGGGTGAAAGTGCACTGATAGGTCTCGATTACGTTGGTGAGTCTGAGAAGGCCAACCGAAGAGGTTTCCTGGAGAAGCTGAAAAGGGCTTCATTGCTCTTTGTGGATTTGAGGGAGTTGAAGCCCACAGAACCGAAAGAACGCAACCTAAAGTGGGCAGTCTACTATTTGTTAGTAAAGGCTGCTTTTTTGCAATCAGGTCTTCCGCAACCAGACCCGGACGAATGTTTCAAGGAACTAAAACTTAGGAGTGATGCTTTGGTCCAGAAAATCCGTTCAATCTTAAACATTCCTTCCGATCAATATCTCCTTGTGGCATTTGACGAAGTTGGTGTGTTTGATACAAAGGGAACCTTTTTGAACTGAGAA